TATAAAAAGTTTTTAGACATTTGCGTCCGATTTAAACTAGTTTATTACGACTGTGAATTCTTTAATAACTTCAAAAAGACTCATTGTCCTAAATATTTAAGAGCCTATTTTAAGACAATACGCTAGAATAATATGGTCCGAGTTCTGTGTCTCTTTAAGTGTAGAATTATTAAAAGGGGTGAGTCTTTACAAATGAAACAATGAGAATTAAAATGAATGACCAAATTCGATAATGTAACAAACAATTGTTTTTACAGACTCTCGTGTTACAATAAAATCGTATTATCAGAACACAATTTTTCAAAATTCTCCTATTCAGTCATAAGAAAATTAATTAGTGCGTATAGTTATTATTGAAAAGGTTTAAAACACCAAAAGTAGATTTGCAGGCTTTTCACTTTTTAAGCTTTCTATATCTTTGATATTTAAAGTTAGCAAAACTATAAAAGACTAGAACTAAGTTTTTGTTTTGTAATTTATATTAAGTCTGTTCTCTGATATCATGAAGGTTAACTTTTTAAAAGAAATAATACTCAATATTTAGATTACTTTTTCCACATCTAATGAATGTTTACATATTTTAACAGTAAGTAGTAGTAGGAATATTAAAAATAAACTAATTAATAGTGTTTAGTTAACTTTATGCATTAGATTCAGTAAAATATATTCGGTTCGCATATAAACTGCCTACCTACCTGCAAGAAATCCGGTGTCAAGATCGAGATAGATAGATTTATCTTTTAAAATTCAAGAAACCATGAATTATTCACCCTCTCTAAGAAAAAGGTCTTCTGATGTATTGTCTACGTAAACAGAACACACTAATAGTAAGAATAGGTGGATCGATAATATTAACAATAACTTAAATATATATAAACAATTATGATTACTAAAAAATATATTTCTACTATTGGCATTTTAAGTAGGCAAGTATCGATATTCCAGCGGCCCTACCAGGTAAATGAAGCCCAAATTGATATATCAAAATGAAGCCCTTGGACAATCTGCCAGGTTGATAGTTTAACTTCAGAAGACCAATCACGATTTGTCTGTCCAATCCTATATAAGTTGATATGTGGATTCAGGGGGGCAATTCTACTAAAATATAACTAGAATTGTATCGTATGTCACTTTTTAGAATAGGAAAACCATTAAAAACTGTAGTTTCGTTCGGTTTCGATCCGGTTTCGATTCGATTTAAACAAAATTTATTTAGTAGAATTGGCCCCCAGTTCGCCACAACACCCGGTTCGACGTTAATACAGGATTTGAAATTTACATTAACAAGCGTGTATTGATATTACTTGTAGTTATTATATTCAATTTGTAAAAATATGTTGTTACTAACATTACTTCGAATAAAAAGAACGGCGAACTGCGAGTCGGACTCGCACACGAAGGGTTCCGTAACGAGACCCCCTTTAATTTTATTCTGTTGTATAATGTTTGTTGTTTTAGTTGCAACGGAAATATCGGTTAAAAATCTCGACTGTCTGTCTATCTAACTATCACGGTTCATGAAATACAGCCTGGTGACAGCATAAAAAAGTCAAGTTTTTCGTATGGGAGCTTAGCTATTAAGTTCATTCTATTTTTTGTCTTTTTTGTTATAGCGGCTACAGAAATACATCACCTAAGAGAATTTCAATTTTTTCACGGCCTGGCAACAGACAGATAGACAGCGAAATCTTAATAGAGTTCCCGTTTTACACTTATGTACGGAACCCTAAAAATCATCGAATGTCGACAGATAATACCTACCTATTCCAAAGCCGAGTGGTTTATGAAGATCTTAAGCAGTGTCTTAATAGGGAAAACGGGTACAGTGCGAGTTGGTGGGTATAGTCGATGTTAATGTTTAAACGCGCATTCTAAAGCACGGAATAGCAAGAGATAGTAAATTTTGGTCACAAGTTCTATTACCGAAGCCGAATAGTGCATTCGGTGGAGCTCGATGGCGCAGTGATTAGCGCGCTCGGTCTGCAAAATGCCGTCATGGGACGAATGACCAAAAAATTAGTAAATCGAGCTTCTTCGTGCTTGAGAAGGCACGTTGAGTTGGTCCCGGTTGCATCTGCCGTCGTTAACAACCACCAATCTACACTGGACACACGTGGTGGGTAATGGCCCATTCTCCCTATTTGGTTTGGCCTGAGCCTGGCCTGAGGTCCAGCAAGCCGGTGATGACGAATGCGCTGACCACTTTGCCATCAAGCTCCTCTTAACTGTACCTACCTATAACATAATTACGAACACGCGACATGACTTTTACATTGTGGTTGTACACATAATTATTTTAGCTAAGTAAAATTCGATATCAAGAATACAAAGAGCTATTTGCCGTTTGATATTAGTTATATAAATACGGTCTGAATATTTGATGTCAGTATATTTGTATATCTGAAACAAGTTAGACGTCAAATACACAATAACCACACTCTCCGTCTTCTAGACAAAGGTAACACTGTTATTATTTCTCTAGGTTGCGTTATAAATTATAGGTGATTGATACTAGGTATATTTGGATTGATTGGATCAGTTTTTTTAAAACTGTAATACTATTTTGTAATACAGCATCGAAAGTGCTTTAGCATTAGAGTTTTAATCAAGTAAAACCTTTACCTATATAGTCACTGTGTGAAGCAAATATTTAATTGAATATTTAATGCTATGGCAGCGTTGTATTTTTAATAGAATGGAACTGCATGGTATCACCTATCTGAAAGTACTTTTTTACAGTGATATGTTTTTTTTTTACTATTATAAATATAACAATCGATGAGTTCGGTTTATTTTAGTTATATTGACTTTAAAAATTTTTAAAAAATTTAAATATGATAAAACGTCGAACCCATCTTTAGTTGTGTCAAACAAAAGTATCTCAATATCTACTTTAATTATAAATAAAGGTTTATTTTAATTTTTCCATATACCTACATCAATAGATTTGCGACGGTGAATTAAGATTTTTCAAATCGTTTTTAATTAGAATAGTTACTGGATACCATATTTAGTGTTATTATAAAAATCCAAACTAAAAACACAAAATAAGATAGTAAATTTTAATATGAATTTGGCACATAGATAGATTGGGATCTATCTATGCGCCAAATTAATATTAAAATTTACTATGAGAAAGGCCAAAGGATAGTTTTTATCAAGAAAATATTCAACGTGGGCGACGCCGCGCGCGTATTTCTTGTAATATACTTCCAACTAAAGGCTCTTTTATCGTCTATTTCAAAACAAAAGTAAAAGTGTTTGTTTTTTTATGAATGTGTGAGTATTGTGATATGAACAATGGTTTTCTTAGTTTTGATAACATTTTATTTATATCTGTTTTGCGATAACTTAGACATCACATACTTAGTCTGTGATTTTGTGGCAGGTGAAGAAAGTGACGCGGCAGAAACAGACGGACGTATGTCGTCAGAAAGTTCTCCGTTACGACAAAGACGTGGCGGGATCCTGAAAGGAGGCAGACTTTGGAAATCTCTGGACACAGACAAAGACAACGAGCAGGTATTCTTATATATAAGTTATATATGATAGACCAATAATTATTGGAATTATATAAAGTTTGTAAGCCTGGAGCACTCAGAGACACGTAAACGATTCGAAAGCTACTCATTGTTCGCTTCGTTCTCGTTTTCCGTGGTGAAACTATCTGAACGGTTTGCCGAAACAAACCAGAATAAACTGATTCCATACCAGTTATATGATTCAGATCTAACATAGTTATTATGGATGACAGGAAAACCAATAAGAAGTCTATGGTTTCTAAAATTTTAAAGTCACTTTTCCATATATTATTTTTGTTGCCAGGTTTTTCATTATGCCTTTTTCCTATGATGTATATACAATAAGTATGTTTATCATTTAATTTTTAATATGGTGTCATATGCTTCGAAAATCGTGATGACACTAGTATTATTTGTAGCTTATAATTGTAACTTTTTGATAAAACCAACTATTCAGAAACTGTAACAGGTTTTTTGTCAACATTTTTGTGAAAAATAAATAAATAAATTCGACCATTGTTCATGAATATATTTAGTTATATATGTCGATGCTAATTATGCGAATCTTTTTTGATTTGCCGTTTTTTTCTATTTTGTATACTGTATCATTCCCTATTTACTTTAATGAATTCAACTATGTCGAAAATTTTAATAATATCTCTTTGATATCCAGAGTATTTCAGAGTACTATTGGTAAAAGCAATTACCAATAATCTCCTTTTCTGATTTAATTGCCACTTCAGACAAGTTATTTTTATTTTCTACCAGTCATAGGTATTATAATATAATGTATTGATATTTTCTGGCAAAACCTCTTTGTACCTTTTTTAGGGTTCCTAAGTAAATAAGAAACCCAAGTTTCGCCGTTTCCGTCTGTCCGTCCATCCGCGGTTTAGCTCAAAAACTATCGGTACCAGAAAGTTGTTAGTTGGCATGAGTATATAAGTAAATTACGCCGAAAAAATGGAAAATAAAATTGTAGGGTTCCTCCTCTACATGTAAAGTGGGGATGATATTTTTCGTTTTCCACATAGTGTGGGGCATCGTTGGATAGGTCTTTCAAAAATATTGGGGGTGTGCGAAGGCTGTTTTTCGATTTAGTAAACCCTTTGTGACTTATTAAGCTTTAAAGTGCTAATTTTCATTAGAGAGTAAAAATTCAAACGCTACGGTAGTAGTATTTGTATATAACGAGATAAGAGGAAAACTATCACACTTAAGTTGGCTTTACAAGTTTTACGAGTAATAGTCGACCAACTGTATTTAACTCGAAAAATATGAATATCTCCATAGGAAACAACAAAGAGATTTTTTTACATTTTAATGGGTAATGGTAGGGAACCCTTAGTGCGTTCGATTCGTACTTGGTCGGTTTTGAATTTTTAGCAGTTTAATAGCGTATGGGTAGAAAAATACGAAAAAATTCACTTCAAATTCAAAAATTCTAACTCTCTTTTAAAAGAGTACTTTGTAGAAGCCATGACAAAGACTCCTAAAGAGTCTTTGTGAGGGCTTCTACAATACAGTCCCAAGCAATGTATAACAATTAGATTTCAACAGGGTTCACTGATAAATATCAATGGATAAATATCGATATACATATATATATTATTTCTAGTTTTAGTATTGAGTCTTAGCTAGAAAATTAACCAACCCAATGTGACGCTGGCAACCTTGGCCCGAAGTAGAAATCTTACTTACTAAAAATTTCCAGTCTTCCTCTATACGTTACCGGGAAACAGAACCGGTTTTTAATTATTTTATAATGAATAAATAAATATTAAAAAAATTACACTTTTTATTTTCACTTTTGATTTAAAAAATCAAGTATTAAATAAAGCCACTAGCAGCTTTCCATAATCATGATATATAGGTATCAGATATATATCGAATAATTATTAAATATTTATTATAAATATCGAATTTTTGCTGACCCTGGATTTCAGTCAGCGTAAATATACTAAATAAAGACTTCTAAGAAAGCTAAGAAAGAAAGGTAGCTGATAGCAGATAAAAACCCTTGGACTTAAGATGTTCCAGTCATTTTTATAGGGGATATTTTGAATACTCATTATACTTATTTAAAAATTATCGTGTTGTCTATTATTTCTTTTCATATTAATAACATAGTATTTTATTATTTTACGCCATATCTATTTATGTTTATTGTAATGGAAAGTGGCTTAAAAAATCATATTATATATTGATCTGGTAATAACATGATTTGTTTTGATGTCGTTAAATAGTTTTATTAGAGATAGTTTCTTCAGCTCGTTCATTTTATCCAAAAGACGTCCTGCTCGCGTACCAAGACGAACTCGGAAACATTTTTTCGGCAATCAAAAACCATTTTACGGGTGCGCCCATACGATATCTCATTCTCGACTCGAGTGTAGACGAAGCGTTTCTAAAATTTGTTATGCGGCGCGTGCAGAAAGAGTGGCAGTAAAAAAATGTAAGACGATTCAAAAGTATTTTAAAATAAATACGTTTATTTAAATAAAAATATTTTATCTTTGAATAAAGCAGAATGAGGACCAAAGATCAACGACGACGGCGAGTGACGAAGACTGCTCAGTGCCACTTCGCTCCGTCCGTTTCGTCGACAGAGCGCGGGAGCCGTCCGAAGAGGACGCGTCGAAGGCTGTAACGGAATTGATAACTGCACCCGACTCAGAAAACACATCACAAAAGGACTATCCATCGAACACATCGCACAGGTATAAACGGGTGTAGTTTGATTGTAATACACACATTCTAAAGGCTAAGTATATTTAATTCTAAAATATACCAAATTTTCTTATGCTAACAACAAACCGTTAGAGTACTTAACGGTTTGTTTTTATATGATATACTATATCTGATATAATTTACTAATCGTGTCTATGGTTAATATTTATAAATATACCTAGGCAATAATTAAATTACTGTACGATTTATCAAGTATGTAACATAAGAATGACTACATTACCATTTTAAAGAAAAGATAAAGGAATAGAAAAACTAAATATAATAAATGGTAATAAAGAAATAATAAAATATTTATCTCGAGAAAAGCGCGTCAAAATTTGCCATTAAAGCATGGCTACGATATTCGTTGTATTGTGAATAACTATATACATTAGAAGATAACCGTTCCTTATGTATCAATTTTATTACTTAAACTCGTCAATATCTTTATTAAAAATGCTTAAAAAATCACCATCTTCAGGACTCCGAAATGGGATAAGTTTAATTTATATATGTGATTAATTTTGTATTACAATGCTATACTGATCTTGAATGAAAAATATATTTTAAATTCGCCATCCTTAAATGCGGAACTTCATGAATTTTGCAATTATTTTCATGAACGAACGCAAAATTAAAAAAAAAACTTAATACTTAAACTTTTGTTATATATTTCAAATTGCCATTTAACTTTTCCATTTTTTCGCCTAGATGAGTACGAAACGGATTTTAACATAACTCAATGTGGACTAGTTCTTGTGAATTAGAAATTTGCTTTCATTACTTAATTACCTTTCAAGATTTATTAAAATAAAAGCCTAGTACATTTCTTTTGTTACTTACACAAAGTAAGGTTTTCTTGCCTTCCCTTACCCTAATTAACTCTAATGTTAATTTTGCAGACTCGAAACACCGTTAATTCTGACAATAAACACACCTAAGCCAAATTCCGCGGTACAACAGCTGTTCAATAGCAGTAGACCGCCGCCGCCTGCCATCGAGCCTCAACTTGTGACGTCAGAAACTCTCAGGTTTACAGCGCATTCTGACGCATTCCATAATAATCATTTTGTGTCTATTTATTATTTTGACGGTTCATAACGCCGTCTTATGAGCTTGTACACCAGCTTTACTGATAAATCTGTGCAATTATTATGTAACCCATGTCATCAACTGACCGCCATTCCAATTCATCCTATTTATAGCGTTTATTTGTAAAAGTGGTACATTATTATTGTATTTGAAATATATGTAAGGGATGAATATTTATTTTCATATACTTCAGTCAAATAAAATGGGGTAGGTACTTACATTTCTTAAATAGAAAAAACGAACACGAATGTATCGCCTCTTTAATGTGGACTCCTTGTAGTGTTTGCATATTCCATAGGCTCAAAAACCCCAAAAGACATGGTTTCAAAGGAAAAGTACAAAATTATTTTTCAATGAAAAAATACAACACCGCTGATTTGATAAAATCATAACAAGTATATTACATTCTCTGACTAAGCTGAATGGGCTGGATCGCTTTGCCTTTCATTAAACAAACGAGACACTATAGTAAGGACACGAAATCTCTTCGGAGAAGATTAAATGAAACATATTTGAATATTTTAATGATTAAAACAAAATAGCCAAACTTTAAGTTAGGATTACAATGGTAATGCTTATGCTGAGACGCTTTGCCTTGTCTACTAACCATATACTAAAGAAACAAGTTACTAAAAGTTTAACAGAAGGTTATTTCTATTTAAAGCTTATTAAATATAAAATAACACAAAAAAATTACTTACTTATAGCCATAATTCTTTCTTTTTAACTTATTCCCAAAAGAATCTGAAGTAATTAAATAAGGATCTCATCAGGACTAAAGAAAGATAATAAAGAGGATATTAAAGATTTAAACTCTCTAAGTTATCATTCAACATTTTCAAATAAGTGGATTATTCGTAATATATTTATACAGCTCTTATAAAATATTTATCTATAGTTTGAGTCTAGTTCTTCAATGTTTATCAACGTAAATATACTTATTTAACGATGACAACATCACGCTCAACGAAACATTCACTCACTCGACAGCTTAGTGACGTATGTAACTACATTAAAGAATACAAACGTACTATTTGTACGTATACTAATAATTTTACCACTTTTTGTTTTAAAGCAAAGACAATGTTATGAAAGACGATATAAATACAATAAAACTAGGAGAAGTCCGAGAGACTTGAATTATCCTATTTTGTTATATATTTGGTGTATATATTACATTATAATTTTAATAAGAACTTATATTAATTATATAGGCTTGTTTTTAGATCTTTAATTTTAATACTGTAAATCGCCTAACTGATTTAAAATAATAATGGGAAATTTATCAACTCTACGAGAGACATATGAATAAGAATCTGAAGAAACTCAATTTCTAGAGTATTAGTAGTTTCCTTTTATTTTTCTCTATTGTATTTCTATCTTTTGAGTAATTTTGCTTTTATATTTTTATTCATATAATCATTATTCTCAAACATTATAAAACTATTCTTAAGGTTACTTCTATTTTACCTTCTGTTTACTTGTTTTTTTTTAATATTGAATTGATTGTACGCTAGTATTATGACAGAAGAAATATCACCACAGAGGGTCTAATGAACCACTGATATCTGCAACAAGCGCAGTGGTTCAACTCTCCCGCACACATCACTTCGACATAAAATTTTCATTGCAGAAAATGTATTCAGTTACTGTAAAAAAAGTAACACACTTGAAAATATAATGATCTGCAAACACGATTAAAATAATACACAATACTAACGTCGGTAAATACGGCTGTAATCTCAAAACTGCTAATTCATTAAAAATATTTTGCAGTGACCAAAACACTTTGGAAATCTTTGGGGGAGGCCTATGCCCAGCAGTGGGCGTCTCTCGGCTGAAGTGATGATGATGATGATGAAAACACTTTTTGCAACCTGAAAACTATACGAACCGGGCATTTTGTACAATAGTGGCACATATATTATTGGGTTTCCTTACATGATCTACGACTGTAGTAATGTTTCATTGGCGTGAAATTCACATTGAATTTAAAGAAGTGGTGGTCCATATGGGCAACCCCTAAGTTTTTTGTAAGTTATTAATTAGACACCCTACTTCGATAGCAGTTTCTTGAATAGGTCGCTTTTGAGATAAGGATTTTTTTAAATATTTCATGTACTTAAGTGATAATGAGATTTTCTATATAATCTGAAATTATATTGACTGACAACCCTAACCTTGTATAAATACCTAATATTTATACAATAGTACGAAAAGAAATAAAATGTAAAATGATCCCCTTTGGCATAAATAAGATAAATACTAATAATGTTGTTTTAAATTTAATTATAGTGTTTTCCAATCAATGAATTCGTTATCGTGATCTCAAACCTATTTAAAATATCTTCAAGAAAGACACAATTTAAAAAACTCTAAAAACAACATTGGGAAAGCAGTCTCAGTAGAGATTTGACTTTCAAACAGAAACCCTATTATGTAATTTTTCTTCATAAAAGGTGCTAAATTTCTTATTGTATAGGTATTTTATTAAGTGTGCCTACTTAATTCTAGTTTCTTAAAGAAAGTGCTCGTAAGTTTTGCAATGTTAAATTAAAGTCACTATTGTCAAATAATTATTATATTTACTTTAATCTAACCTTCTCCTCTCCTCCTCTTATTGATTTGTTTTTTTTATTATTATAGTAAAGCTTTCATTCACTTCTCTTCCTTATTAGATAAATGTTTCAGTAAAATTGAACTACTTTTAATTGGGTTATTATAACAAATATATATATATTGAAAAACTAACAAAAACCATATCAACAGTTGAATTCTTTAAAAAATATTAAAAGCACAAAACATAATCTCATGAATTCAAAATAATAAAACGTCTTATAACTTTCTATATAGGGCATGGGACGCTGGAGTGAGGCCTAAGTCAGAAGATGCTGCGGTTCGGAGGGTAGCGGAGCGAAACGCTTTACGTTGCTCACTTCTAAGGAGTGAAGCCCGTAAGAAACAACAACCTAAGGTATTTAATAACAAATATAATTAAAAATGTATTAAAAAGTTTCATTCAATTGGGCCGGAAAAATTATAAAATTTAAATATTATATTATGTGTAGTAAACGTGGTGTAATATTAATTAGAACTATTTTATTCGTAATTTTTCTACATATTTTTAATTGTGTTATAATAATAAGTGATTAGAAATACGATCACAATATGCAATTTGATTTTTTTTATTAATCTTTTTAAAATTTGTTTCCACCAGTTTTTATACAAGATGAGAACTCCAATACTACAGCAACAATATAGCCTTTTATTTAGTATTTTACTCGCCGCTATATTTTAATTAGATAATAAGCGTATTTTCCTCTTTTAAATATATATCAACTAATTACGAGAAGAAATCGAATAAATAGTGAGTTTTTTAGATAACACTATCATTTTGATAATTTTACGTTTTGATCCCTCGGAAATATTATGCTTTTTTTTTTCCCTATAATTCAATTGTATATATCTCTATTCCTTACTGAATAATAGTTTATGTAAATCTATGCTGTAGGATAAAAATTTCTGCCTACGCGCCTCTTTTAAATTAAATCTACAAATGAACCGTTGGGCATAGAAAAGGTAACAGTTTCTAGAAAAATATATTATTATATCGATAATACGAAGTGTGGTAACACATTAAAATTGATGGTCTCCAGCATCTTCATTGGACATTTTTTACTGTAATTGTATATCAGAATAAAGTTAAATAATTATGTAAGAAAAAATGATTGGTCCTTTTTACGTACCTATGTATTATGTATTTATTTTACAACCTCAAACTAAAACAAAAAAAAAACAAAACGTCTTTGTATCTTTTATAATTCCAGAAATAACTTGAACTCTAAAGTGAGGAGTAAATTTGTGATACAATTTTTACCATTTATATTAAAAAATATATTAAAAACTAGCTCTTATGAGATTGGATAATAAAAATACTTAATAGACGGGAGTACGGTAAAATAAATTTACTCAGTGATGTATATTCAGAATCTAAACTCTTTAGTGGTTTACGCGAGCTAGCGAGGCTACGAAAGTTATAGATACAAATAAGTAGATACTTGTGTAAAATATTTATATAGCTCAATTTTTTGAATCTAGAGTCAGTGTCAGTGTTCTTTTTTTTTATACCGAGTAAAGATAGTACTATTTCAATAAGTAGGTATGTATACAACGTCGATGATTAAAAAATTAGTTCATTTGTAAAAGGTGTAAAAGAGTAAAAAACATAGAATTATTTGATTAAAATAGACGAATCAGCTTGGTTTACCACCTGAAAGTTTATTCGCCAAATATAGACGCTAATCGAATTTTCATTATTATTGATGTTACCCTAAAATAATTATATTCTAATTGCGAGCTCTTCTATATCCAAATTCGATTAAAAGTTCCAATGCCAATGAGAATTAATGAAACGACAACTCAAAATTTTCCTGGAATAAACATATTAAGGTTGTATGTAAAAATATTACAACAACCTACTTGAAGAGTTAGAGAGGAAACGAAACGAAATAGCGAAGCCAGTCAATGATAAAATACTGATGATGCCTTTTAAGTATAACAAAAATATATTTTAATTAAATACTAGAGAACCGTTAAAATTTATACCTACAAGTATCACATTTCGGCTAGGTATACAGTTACTCACATATTTAACAAATTTTATATAAAAATTTAAAAATAGCTTTGTAGATTTCGAATACATTTGAGAAATTCACGTTTATGTCGGGATTAGTATCTCATATTCAATAACAGTTTCTTTTTTGTTGTATTAAGTAAATCGGTACAAGCTTGACGGCGCAATGGTTAACGCGGTCTGCAACGCGAATATAAAGCAAGTTTCGTGATGGGTGCCCAAAAATTTATTATATTAAGAATGCTCGTGATTCGGAAATCATATTTAAGTCATTGTCTAGCTGCATATGAAGTTGTTAACACACACCAATACGCACTGGGCCTGTGTGGTGGACCATGGTCAACGAGCCATTCGATTCCATAGGCCTGTGCCCCATCAGTGGAGATATTAAGAAATTAATAGAATAATGGTGAATACGCTTCCCCTACTTCTTTCTATGGGCGTCTCCTTAACTTAGTGGTATAATTGCACCTGTTTTGCGTGTGGAGCGTGTGTGATCGGAACACATGCCAGCCAACCCAGCTTCGACAGAAACGCTCCCAGCAGCTTCGCGTTTATGATAGCTTCCTGGAGCCAAAGTATTTTGCCCAGTTGTTAGCCATTTCATTGCATTCCAGCGAGACATAAGCAGCTGTTTTTACACCTCCATGCATCCTCTGCATAGGAGTTTGTCAGTGACAAGCCTAAAATGGCGTCTGTTAAAGTTGCCATTACCATTAATAGCACCTGTTACTAGACGCATTTATGATTTACTTAGTTGTAGGAGAACTTTGGAAAGGTTAGCGTTTAGTTAGGGATAGTTTAGACGGATACACTACATAAAAAATGTTTCAGTTTTCTTTCTAGTAATATGAATAATACATAAAACTTAGGTCTTTGTCAAGATTGCTAAATCTCCGCAATCGCAGACCCAATATATTAATAACTGCATCATAAAATTCCTCTTTTTTTAACTATGTGCAATTAATAATGTCACTACAGCAGGAGACGACATCGTTAGCCGAGCGTATAAGGCTTTTAACGTGCGATGTCGACGACGAGCAAGAAGAGCAACGTACTTCGCCAGCTGGTAATGCCGACAAACTATCAAGCAGTAGCGACAAGTCCAGTGAGAAATCGTTCAACAGTCTCGACAAAAACAGTGAGAAGGCATTTGGCAGTGCCTCCTCTAGTTCTTCATCTTCTACTTTGTCGGCAGCGGTACCACACCGACAACATCCGCCCGACTTGGGTGATGTACACCAGGAACCTCAAAAGGTACGACCTGATGTTACTCCTACATTTGCAATTACAATAAGGTGATTTGTCTTATTATCGTATCATATTAATTTGTTTATTACATTTTGAATTCATTTTTATTTGATGAAAACTCTATTCTGTGACAGAGTGTGTGCTTGATGTTGTGTTGAATAACACTGCAAATACATGGTCTATAGCCTTTTATAGAATTTTTAGTACAATGTACTACCTCTTGTGAATGAAAAAAATACCGATATTTTATTCCAAAAAATAGAACCGCCTTCAAACTTTAGAAAAGTAAGAAATAATCCTTAACTTAAACTTGAGTAAACTGCTATTGAAGTCGGTTTTCATCACTAAAGTTTAAGCCTTTTTTTCTAACACCTGACCTCAACTTACGTACTGAGTATGTGCGCCCTTAATACTTATCCCATCAAAAACATAACATATACAAAAATGCACAAGTCTCACAATTCAACGCAATTCTCCTGCCGTAAAAATGTATGAAATCAACGTAAACCAAGTCGATTAATCTTTCTGTGGGAGCAGCTATCCAACCTTTTTTGCTGACTTGACATATATTCTTCCGCAGACTAAAGTATGCGTTAGAAAACACACATTTTGTCACGAGCTCTTGTAGTTGTACTTGTTACCAAGCAGGTAACAGACACAAAATTGAAAAAAGTAGTTTTCCCTCAAGAGAGCTAATTAGGCCAAATTTAGCCGGCTTTGGAACGCTGTAATGATGGGATTTTTTTAATCAAAGGAAGTGAAAAAATATATTTCAGCCAAGACCGGAACCTCGACGACAATTCCTATCGACATTAGCACCTCTGACCGCCTGTGTTGGTAGTGCAGCGCATCATGAAGGTTTTTATTACGTCCCACCTGGAGACCGAACTTCGGCATCATCCGCGACAAACCTTGACCTACAAGAACATAACGACGCTCCAGCACCAGATGTCGTAGCTGGTACACCAGGTAATTGGTTTTCCTGCAGTTTTTACAACGCCACTTTTATATTTAAAATAAGATTCATGAATTTCATATTTTTATTAACCTCTTGCGCTCTTTCTGAGTGCAAATAATATTAATGCCATTTTTACAAGACCACCACCGGCGTTGCGTGCCTTGGGGGGTATAAATGGGAGTCCCAAATGAAGAGTGCAAATTTTTGCTTACATACGTACGGCGGTAGTTACGCACATGAATACAAATTTTATAAAGTTTGCGTTTAGTCATGCAAAGATCCAGCATCTGAAAATTAAATTGAGAACATAAATTTTATGATTGAAGAATAGCCGATGCGTAATATGGTGGATGTTTTTTTAGGCCACATTAAGCTTAAAACATCATGCAGGTAAACATTTTGTCCATCAGACAAAAAAAGGCTACGCACTTGAGTGGGACCTTCGACACCAAGTTGGATATGTTAAAAACATCACATAAAATAAATTACTTAAATTCCGAGATGAATATAGATTTAACTCTCGTATTGTGAGTATTTGAAACAACGAAATGATAACCAACGAAAGAGTCAAGACAATGTAGACAAGTTAATTTTGTACATTGACCCGGGATTCGAACCGGGACCTCAGAGATGGTGACACCTAAAAACCGGTGTGGGAACCACTCGACTACGAAGGTAAATCGAGAAATTGAAATCGGCGGTTATCGGCGGTACATATATTTAATTGTTACTGGTTATATAAAAGTAATGTTTTAGCAAAACAGTAAATTCTTTGTCCTTTGACTTAAAATTCTGCTAGTTACAGTTGTTACATGTTGATGATATTTTTCTATATTGACTTATAGAAATATTAAAACAAAATAAAGAATTAAAATGTATAAAATATACCTAAAAATATATACACAAGAAAAAAATATAAAAAAGGTTTTAATAAGATCGTCAGCAATAGATGCCTACTTTTATCAAAAGAAATAGATAGATAGTGCTTACACTATTTATTTCATCCTTATCCTAATAACTGATTTGAAAAAAGTATCATTTATTAAACGTTTCTTAAAATATATAGATATAAAAGTATCTATAATTAAGCTGAAGAGTTTGTTTGATTAAACTGTAAAATCTCAGGAAGGAAAGGAATATTTTACTATTTTAAAGCTTTCCATGCGTGCGCTGAGTAAACGGTGAAATTTTACGCAAAAATCATATATTATGAAATGGATCCTCTTCAAAAGTTTTAAAAAAAGTCTGTGGCAGCATTTTCGGTATAAGATATCTTATATCGAAAAAAACACATAAAGGGATGAAAATGGGAGTGGAAGTTCGTATAGGGCATTAAATCGTTTCCATAGTAACCAATGTTTACAATTCAATTTGTCATTTTAATTATAATCCATATTATCCTTTTCCATTATAAAATTATTTCAACTGTTTATACAGGATTAAATAATGTTTGGATAATTTTATTCGGTACAATCTTTGTCGCTCATATTAAATGCATATGTTATATTTGTTAAGTACACAAAATTGTTAGCCTGGTGACAGACAAGCAGACAGCGAAGTCTTAGTAATAGGGTTGTTGTTTTACCCTTTGGGTAGGAACGCTTAAAATTAAAGTTGCTGCCAAAAGTCACTATTCCATGCAGTCGAAATCGCGGGCACAGCTGATTAATATAGTGAAAAAACTTGTCATATATGAATTTATAATAATTTTAGTTAGTTAACATAAACGCACAATAATAATAAAACCACATTATTTTTTAATGATAGGAATTAATAAGAGAGTTCGTAAACCCTTAGTATGCATCATTATATACGCGACTGGCACTACGCTTATTTTAAACATTGTGTAAAAAATAGTATTTTTGTGCCCTCCATTCGTGTTATAGACTATGGAGTGGATACGCTAAAATGATATAGAGTACAATAGGTATATTTTCTTTAAAGGACGCTTGGCGACTCTACCTTGCGCTATTACATTTCTGCTCCAGTTGGAAAATATCATAGATCCAGGGCGGTCCACGGAACATAGATATTATATTTATAATAGCGTATCCGTTGCTTTCTGGACAGCGAAGACCACTCTTTATTACCAGATATTTTATCCATTGTCTGCACGCGTGCATACTATCTAATATGACCTTGTTCTGTAACATAATCATCAAATGAATTTTTTCCTTAGGTGCTGGGGAAGGTGATGATGGCCTAGCAGCATTTGCAAGGGCTACGGCGCCAAGAACGGAGCGTCTGAGGCAACGGTACGGCCAAGAATCACAACCAGCGAGCAGTGATGATGAACATGATGATTATGGTACCTATTTATTATTGCAAAGTTTATTATGGAGGTACATCATCGTTACATGCCTCAAGTATCAATTGAAGATGCTAATTTAATAATTTCGTTTTTATGCGCAGAAGATTTTTTACATCTTTCAAAATTTCCTTTTCAAGGGTAATTTTACAGGCAGTTAAAAAATACAAATGTTCAGGTTTCCATCGTCGCCCAGCCGTCCGCGGGATCGCCGTAAAGCAGCAACTAGGAGCATCTGACGAGATTCTCCAACAAATGCAAAATGAGCTGCAACCGTCACCGGGAACAACTCCTGCGCAAATGCCTGCGCACGCATGCCAGCGTACCAATTCTACTTACTCCTGGCCTTATTACTCTGAGGCAAATCTCAATTCCAGGCCGCAAAGCAGAACGAGTGCGAACTCTAATTGGTAAGCATCACAAAAATTTACATCTTGATGCTATCTTTCAATTTATTAAGCTATCTTTTAATTTAAGAAACACAATTAAATAATTTTTTGTTCTTATTTTCCCATCTATATATTTTGACAATAAGATTGTATAAACTGAAACCAAGTCCAGTTATGATAAAGTTCTAGGTAGATTACTTTAAAGTCTTTGATCCTGCAGTCATTTGTTTCGTCTAGAAATTCTAGGTGTTTCATGCTCTACCTGAATACCTATCAGTATTGATACGGCACAACTTCATGTTACGTCAACGTACTCTAAAGCAAGGCCTCTTTGTATATTATTGTTATATTTTTTTGTAAAATATATTAAAATGTATAAAGTGAAATCAAATTAACTTATCCAATGACTGGAGGATAAATAAATATAATGTTTTACAGGTCCAAGTCTTCAGATTACGTAACGAGCCGCCAATGCAGAAGTACGCCTGTGCCGCAACACAGTGAATCTTGTTACGCGCACGCGCAGAGCGCGGGGCAGTACGCGCACTACTCGCACGCATCGCTCCGACAGCAGCAGCAGGATATGTACAGGAACTGTTCGCTGTATGCAAACATTGGGTATGGGAGATAGATGTTTATATATTTAAATTTAATGAACATAGAAAAAAACACCTGAATTATTAAATATTATTGTTTGGCAATCTAAATAATTTATTATTGAGTCATTGAGTATTATGTAGTAACACAGCGATTATCTTTCAGATGTTCTGATAGCAGTCAAGAGCTTTACAGTTCTCAGACTAGTTCTGAACAGACATCGCCGGTACGGTCAGCGCCACGGTGCAGGCGACCGGAATCACCGCCGCCTATACGCAGTCATCACCAGCTACTATATGTCCCTTACAGCACTTCACATTATCATTACCAACACGAATACAGCTCACATTGGACCGCTAACGATTGTAAGTTGACACGAAAATGTAATACGATACGATAATTATTGTAATTAAGTAAAGCATAATGATTAATTTATCAACGCAAGTACTTACAAACAGCTCACATTGAACTTCTAACAACTGTAAAGCGTTGTCCTTCCTTATCGCAAGTTCAAAAATGCGATTGCACGTACGAAAAGATTACACGCTGAGCTAATGTCTATTACATTGTCTTGGACAATTTAAAATCATAAATCATCAAGACCTTAAGGATAATTATTCATAGCAAATGAATTTAATCGCTCGCCCAATATATTAGGTTGGAGAGATTCTTTTCGCATATAGCATGCATAATCTTGTAATAAAATTATCACCTGTTTCTTCATAATTCTTTAGCCAGTGTCAGGTTAACATGACGCAAGGGTTGCCAAAACCACTAGTCGTGGTCTTTTGATCAGAAGCCCCAAATTTCTATAGCAATGGGATCATGATCCTACAAGATGGCCAAAAGTTATCGAACAAAATGGTACCTACGTACATAGTTTAGTTAAGTGTAAATAAACTTTATTAAAAATGCTTTAAATTTTCATATAAAATGCGAAGAAAATTTTCTCTTCAACCTATTACATTGTACGATTCATAAAATACTACTATTAATATCTGTGCTGTTTAAATTCCTTCAAAGCTGCGAGCGGCTTCTAACAACGAAATGGTTCATGTCTTAACATTTCATCTTCTAATGCGAAATATATTTAGGACAGAATTTAGGCTGTCAATTTTGAACTGTATGACGGTTATTTATGTCGTTTCAGACAGCCGTATGCACCAGTACTATCAGCAACAAAACAGAAGTGGCAGCAGTACGCCCCAACCTACACCAATACAACCACAGAGGGCACATTACACGCACGCATTGCAATTACAGGTTATTATTATTATTACTTTTAATAATATTCGATCTTCACATAGGAATGAGATGGTTTCTTCGTAGTACTACAATAATTAATTTAATTAGGATAAACAAAAAAATGCTCTGTCAAATTTAATTCACAATTTGACATAGCATATTTTTGTTTATCCTAATTACATTTACGCTTAACAGCTTACGCACAATTTTTCTACCCAAATTAATTCTAAAACATAGGTATAATATACAGTACGCGAATAAAAATATGTATAAAACCATGAATTCAAGGAAGCGAAGGACACGTGCAGGGATCGTGTCTTGTGGTGCTTGGTTCTCTTTGCCTACTTGATTAGGGAGTTGGTTCGAAGATATATAGTAATACTAGACTTAATTTATTTTTCAGAACTTATGTCCAGCACCGGCACGTTATAGACCAGTTCCTGCTCAGCAGCCTGGAGGTGGCAAACAGATGATATGCTATTCAGAGAAAGTAAGCAATAATTTCGTTCCCTATATATGACCATATCAGGTGAATTCGTATTTATATATTTTTTTACATCTATTTATCTAGTTGCTTAGTGGCGTAGCTTAGTTGGTAGCGATCGTTGTTATTAAGCATCTTTCGCAAGGGTCGGTCACGGGATGGGTGACCGAAATTTATAGAGCTACTCTTTGCTTCGGAAGGCACGTTAAGATTTTGATCCTGGCTGGATTTGCAATCATTAATAAGTTTAAGGTTTAGTAGGACAAAAAGTCGTCTATATACAAGCTGAAAATTATCCGTTCAATAAAATTTCATCAAAATCCGTTCAGTAGTTTTTGCGTGAAAGAGTAACAAACATACCCACAACCTTTCGCATTTTTTAAATAAGTAGGAAGTAGGATTTATTATAACGTTGTAGTTTTACAAACTCGACCGCAAAACTACAACGTGGCAGTATGTGAAACATAAAATGCCGATTTCTTTTATCGCCGCTACCGCCATTTTTTTGCAATTTAACTATACATAATATTATATGAGGCTCGTAAGCAGTGACAAATATTAAATAACAAATGTTTGGTTGCTCTTGATTGCAAATTCACTATATACGTATTGGTTTACACTCTAAGAAAGCTCTGCACGGCATATGTTGGGACGCCTCGAAAATATTGGTCATATTTTGATAAATGATTGGAGTTATAAGAACATTTTGAGAAACGTTGGTGTAAATTATCTTTTTCCAAGTCTCCTTTACTGATGCTAGGTGGCAGCACCTTTATATCAGCCAGCGCCGGGTTCTCCGTCGCGAGCGGCGCGTGGTGCACCGGAGGGGGCGCCGGCGGGGAGTGCCGCGCCCCCCGCCACATCTCCTATGGCTGCGCCCCCCAACCCCGTCTACTACGCCATGAATGTTTGACGAGGGGACTAGGTACAGTTTCCACTTTCCGACAAATATATGCCCCACTAATAAGAAATTTCTCCGAAGATTGAAGGTTCGAGTCCTGTCACGGTCGCCATTTTATTGTTGTGCTTTAAATACTTTAAATATTATTATTTCAATGATATATTGAAATCGGTGGAGAAAGAAAAAATATAGCAATGATTTAGGACATGGAACAAAAGATATTACATCAAATTATCGCTTTATAAACTAAATCCATAAACCTGAGTATCAAAAGAGGACTGGATAATAGTTCTGACCGTGTCATTCCAATATAACATTCAGTCTGAGTGAAAAAATTATATGAATGAATGAATGATAATTTTATTTGCACCAATAACAATAAAACATGCTATATACACATTGAAATAATTAAATTATAAAAACAAAAAAAAAGCAAAATTAAACACTCGCTTAACCGGGACGATGCAAAAAGGGCAAACCCTCGGCAATATGTTTGCTTGGAAAGCGAACTGGCAATTTCATTGACCTAAGTTTGGATTAGCGGCGAACCAAAGATGTTGTGTAAGATTAATGCATGAAATTATAATTGCATATCGTTAAGTTCATGTTGAATAAAATAATCGTCAATCAAAAGAACAGCAAATTTCAAGACACCCACCAGTCTACAACCTCACAAGTTTTGTCACAACTTTTTACTTGTAAATGTTAATATTTTAAAGGTTATATAACTGCAGTTTTGTTATATTATTATAGTCTACCTCCATAAAAATTTAGATATTTAATGAAAATTGCACTAACTCTTTTAAATATTTTACCTACCAATTTCCCTCTAATCTGCATTGGGCCCGCGTGAAGGTTCATGGCCGATCCTCTTTAACCATACATCAGTAAGGCCTGAACCCCTATAGTGGGAACGTAAAAGGGCTAATGATGATGACACATAAATTTATTTTTTCAAAAATTATATTGCAGTTCTTTTATTTTTATACATAAGTACAACTTTTTAGCACATCTACTTAATATAGGTATTTGTTCAACCCTATATGTGAGTTAATTCCTGTTTTTTCGCTTACGACGTCGAACAAGGCCTTCTAGGGTTAAACATTTAAACGCACGCGATTTAAGTTCTTAAAGCTGAAAACGCAAAACCAGCCAAGTGAATGCCTATATTAAGCATACCTATAGTCTTTAGCTTAATGCTTAGTATAAGCATTTCGGCGTATTTGTTACAAACCGCAGACTCCTTGAAAGGTGGTCCTTGATTTTTGCTCCACTTACTAATATTTACATATATATTAGATGTATAAAAGTTACAATTGCCTAACTGAGTTTTTCATTATGTGTATATAGGTGAAAATCGTGGTGGGCCCCACAGGCGAGGTCCGAATCAGCGTACAGCCGAAGCAGCACCAGGCACCGGCAGGCAGCGACGCAAAGAAAAATAAAGAATGACAGCATATAGAGTTCTAAAAATTATTCACATATTTCAGTCAACAATCCTTGGGAACACTACTAAGGATGTCTCGATCGATGTTGCTTATAAAATATCGACCGTAACTGTTACACATTTGCCGTTTTGTATGTCACATTATGATTTCAAAGACTATAGTCGATATATGACCAAGCTCACTGTGTCGGTCGATTGAATTATTCAAATTGTTGAAAAGAAATCATGGAATTTTCCGTTTGCATGCAAAAATGCAAGCCCTATATAGAGATAAAATAGAGAAGGTCACCTTTTGAATATCGTGTATTATAATACAAATAGAAAATATTTGCTCTACTTAATATTACGAAGGGTGGTAACAACAATCGTGTAAGTAATTATTAAAATAATTTGCTGTTTGATAAGATATTGATTTCATGCTAACAATTAAACATATGTTAATTATAATTACAGACGTTTTGCGATTTGACGAAAACGAGTCGCCTACACGTGATATCATTCCAAACATTTGTTAGGTATGTCACTTGTTTTAATAGCACAAAGTGTTGATTTAAGAAAATTTGCTAAATGATAACCAAAGCGCTCATGCCAAATTTGAACATCACAATTTCTAGTCAAAATGATATTTAATTATATATCTAATTGAAGAATTTAAACATTACAATTGAGAAGACTGCAATCAACATAGAAACAAAATAAACAGATATAGTGTGAAACGTTTTATATAAACCAAGTAGGTTACAGTCAGTAGAATTGATACGCGCATTAACTTTTATAAAAAAATGTGTTTTGGACGTTTTTCCATATTAATTCCATTATTATTCATAAAAACCTTTAGAGTTTAAATTAAATTGTTCACAAAAACTATGTATCATCAAGATAAACAGTTTTGTATATTGAGTTCGTTTAATTAATTTTATAATTTAGGTACGAATATGTAAATAAATAAATAAGTACCTATATAAGCCCACTTGCAAAACCATTGTGTTGTATTTATCACCGAAAACACAAAGTATAACTATACACGAAGTATAGTTAGGGACATGAAATAGTGGCTGTATATACCTAGTCAAAATGCTAGTGCCAAATATTGCTTCAGTATTATATGATACACTTATTAGTTTAGGTTAGACGTTGATAATTTTTATTAGAACTAAAAGAATAACCATTCCAAACGGCCTAACATAATTATTTTCTAGAAAAGTGACTATAGAAAATTACATGGTGTAATTACATTAATTAGCGCTGCTGCTGATACCGAGTGGGCCACTACGTTTTTCTAATGAACTTTTTGTTACTAATAAATACATAATTACGTACACACATACTCAATATAGTTTAAGCAATGATCTATAAAATCAAATTGATTTTATGACAATATGTTCGTTAGTATTTACCTTTAGGTATTATGAGATCGCTTTAAGCTTATGCGATTGTTAATTAAATAGTAGTTGTTTAATACATGGCTTATATTTGTGTTTTCTTTAAAAGCTAGTTGTAATTTCGAAATAATAGTATGTAACGGAGTACCATTAGGGTATATAGAAGTGAAACCGAATCGCACAACTGTAAGACCAAATGGGAGACCAAATTTCAATCATGTTTCATTATACAAATATATTATGGCTGCATTTTAACAAATTAAAAATATAAAAATAATACAGGTAATGTTTTTAAAAATAATTAAGTACTGTAGGTAGACATTATCCGATATCAAAGGGAAACGAATAGAAATGATAATTATGTTTTTTTATTTTTATTGAGGAAGTATTTAAAAAAACCGGCCACGTGTGAGTCGGACTCGCGCACCAAGGGTTCCGTTCAAACCTGCAGGTAATTATTAAAAATATTTTGATTATATGATGTAATAAAAAATTTACGATTTTCGCATTTTTTCCTTTATCTGTGATATAAAACGTTACTTCATACCAAATTTCAAGATTCTGAGTTCACGGAAAGTAGGTTTTAATTCCCTTGCGACTTTTGAAAACTATCGGAAATGTACGGCATAAACGGTTTTATCTTTTGATTGCGTTGGCTTAGGGCTTAGAAGATTCAATTTTTTCACAGCTTCAAGGGATAGTAGTTTAAGTATATGACATAAAATTCAGTTTGATACCTCCACGCGTTCCTGAAAGGAGGGTCTTGACAGACGGACAGACAGGTAACAATCTCTCACTACGGGATACGGGATATAACGGAACAAGTCCATATATAAAAAAGTGATCCTAAAGGTGCCGTTTTTTTCTCTCGAGAAACACTAAAAGATACTACTGAAATATATGTACGTTTTTGGCGATACAATAAGATATAACGTACCCAAAACTTGAAACTTTTTAACTATTAATAAATGGCGTAAACAGCAATTCATCGGATATGGCGCCATTTGTGGGGCAAACAAAGGGGATCTTTACTTGATAAATTTTATGTGTGATGGTTTCAAAACAAACATACAAATAAATAAGACACAAAAAATACCTTTATAAAATGTCAAAACATTCAATGTGAGGCACATACTACAAATACTGAAACAATAAATTATTGTTTATTCAAAAATAGCGGCACCAAAAAGACACCATTTCACAGTGTCGATCGATTCTTTTAGATTGAAATAGGAAAAATTGTGTTAAGCTGTTTTAGGACTTTTGCTATGTTAAGATTGTTTTTGCTATTTTAATCATACAAAATTTTATAGCTATTTTATTTAAAAACATGGGGTTAAATTATTAAAAAATAATTATTAAAAATTCTTTACTATATATTATTAGTAAATTGATTTCTATTAAAAAAGTATTATATTAAAAAGGAGGTTTCCATTTCTTCGGGGTTGATTTAATTGTTTCATAAAAAGAATGACATTTACAGAATACAATCTCGATTCCTAATACAGTATCATTGATATGTACTGTAATGATAGGTACTGTATTAGGAATCGAGATTGTATTCTGTCATTTTTTTATGAAACAATTAAATCAACCCCGAAGAAATGGAAACCTCCTTTTTAATATAATACTTTTTTAATAGAAATCAATTTACTAATAATATATAGTAAAGGGATTTCTAATGATATTATATGTATGTTTGAAAGAAAAAACTATGTTTCGTCATGCCGGCCCGTCTTTACCCATGGTGCAGGGGGTGCAACGCATCCGGGCGCCTGTTGTGCTTAACACGGGCCTGTTGTCATGATCTCTAAAGTCTTTTCCTAGACTAGATTTATATTCATCCTAAATTGTAATTTATTTCTTTCAATTTTATAACTTAGCAATGAATATTATTCATATTTCAATCAGCCGGGGACAGTAATAAATATACTATGTGACGTTAAATCATAATAAGCCGTCGACTTTGTACAGAAGTAATAAAGCTAAAGGTACTTCGACATAATTTCCCTATCTAGTACTTATTTATTATACGCGTTACCTGAAATATGGCCAATGTATACCGAAACTGCGCTAACTGACTGAATACCTAATCAAAGACCAAGAACGGATTTGTTTAATTTATACATTCACTCTTATCTAAGTAGGTACATTGTTATTTTGATGAAAATAATTGTTTAAGTTCTGTGATTGGAAATGCTTTATTGACCTCTTATTGTCGTTATTTATTAATAAGTAAAACAATCGATCTATATTTTGTTTGTTTTTGCGCCATTTACTCGACTTATACCCCTTGCGAAAAAGGTGTCATTATGTACTTTGAAAGCGATTTGTATGTAAGGCCAAAGATTATAATTACAATTAATTTAATCCTAAAATGGTATTCTTCTGTCAAAATATTATAAATCTTTTAAGCGAAATATTAGTTTGTAAGTATTGTTATGGAGGAAAGGGATGTTGTGAGTAGCTTAATAGTTTCTTAAGAGATCTCACATATAGATACTATTATTGTATTATAAAAATGCAAAAATTTATACTGAGCAAAGTTTTAATACATATTAAAAATTTAAAAAAATCTATAATAGGAATTACTTAAAACTCTAGTAATGTTAAACATTACTATGACTACATTTTTGTGGTAACTAGGTAAATGGAAAGTTACCATTAAAAAATGTAACTTTCAAAAAGTTTAGACCGAGTTCATAAATTTACTGTTTCAACCGTTTGATAAATAAACCGGCATGTTTGCAAGCTCAGTAGTAAATTTTATGAAGGTAATAAAATAGTTAATCCGACCAACATTCCCATGTCAATGAGGAAGTATTTAAAAAAAGAAAGCACTAATAAGCACCTCCTCTAGATGGCGACTATAGCAAAGTCGATATTTGCAGGAAACGAACGAACCATAGATAGTCATTTCCGTTCCTTTTAACTAATATATAAATTTGAAATCTAGTTATCAATACAAATATGACAAAGTACAAATAGAATATGAGTTGTTTATTGAGTTTTGAAAACTAATTTATACGTGAAAGAAAATCGGAAGGGTTGTCATGGAGAAATCAAGAAAGTACCATAGCGACACCTAGTTTGATTTCGATTACTAATTTTTTTTTAAATACTTCCTTATAAGCTTAGTCACAGTGTAAGACCATAAAAATAATCTGAAAATTACTCATTGACTCTGAAACAATTATAAAATTAAATGTATACATCCTATTCTATCCAATTTTAGACATGAGCTTCCAAACATGATTTATACGTTATTGGAAAGATGTGTAACGTATTAATTATTCAATTTGAACCTTTCGTTATTTTCAATGAGGGAGTACTTAAGGAAAAAGGTATGCTCGAAGTCAAAATAGACACGTTAATACTTTGACTTCAAACTTAGTGCCAGACAAATTCTTTACGAAACGCGTTGCGTTTTAGTTATATACTTTGTCTTTTCTTTAAGTATCTTGCTTTGAAGGAAATAAAAAGGAATATTCGCATTATCATTTTTATTTTATTTGGCAGAAATGTTTCAAACATTGTACCGTCACTTAGTTACAAGTTTTAGTATTTTTTTTTTCATACTTCTTCGCTGTTTTTTGGTAAATTGAATTTCATTCGCATATAAC